GTAAATCAAACTGACAAGAAAATCAAAAGCAGACTAAAAAAAAATTTAAGAAAACATATCTTAAGACTTCATAAAAACTTCTATGGTCTGTTTCTTTTTTTAAGAGAAAAAACAAATTGCAGGCTTTTAATCACTTCTCCGGGCCTGCAGACATGCTCAGATGTGAGCAGTTCGTGCAGCAGAAAGCAGATGACTGCTATGATTCTCAGGTGTGGAAACACGACCTTCACCTCCTGCTGTCGTCCCTGTAGGACACTGAGAAACTGTAAACACTTCCACTGACAGGGGTATCACCGAGCTGCGACATGCTGGTGCTATGACAGGCTCCGGCCTCACCTGAGCCCTGTCATCACTAAACTGACCGGCTTGACAGGCGAGGTCTGGAAGGCGAGCGAAGGGGGACGAGAAGCGAAGTCGGAGCTGATCCCAGTTTAAGATGCTGTCATCAGACAAATCAGCTTGTTCCTGGTGTCCAGCGGTTGTTCTAACGTTGTCCCACATCATGTAGATGTTCTCATGGAACACAGTTTGCTGCTGTATACTGCCTACATAAATCAGCCATCCAGACTCGAGCTACATAAATAAATGTAAATAATAAACAGTCTTAATCTGTCAGGGCCGAAACATCTGTACAGATATTATAACAACCTTCACGACCTCAAGTGGTTGTGCTGCTGATACACAATCCTCCATGAAGGTGATAATGTTCAGTTTGTTTCCTGTGTGACCACTGTGGAGGCTGCTACTGGTTCTGTTGTGTAGCCTCACTGATATAAATGCAGTGGACGAAGCACTGGTGCAAATGTTCATGGTAGTGACACCAAGTTTCTTTTGGACGGCAATGCATTAATAATCTGATCTATAATGAATCTAAGGTTGTTTAAGCGGCAGCACCGCAGGTGATGGGAGTTGACTGCACTTCGATCCTTTCAGTAAGCTCAGCACTTTGCTGCTTGCCTGTCAGCTGTTCTGCACTGTGAGGACCAGACAGGCATGTGAGCGCTCACCTGGTCGACCAGCGGGCTAAGCAGGGCATCGGCTCGCTCTCTGCTGAGGAAGCGCTGCGTGTCGTACAGGAAAATCTTGTTGAGACAGTCGAGGACGAACTGAAGCAGCAGACTGTTCTTGTCCTCACCTCTGTCAGAGTCAAAGAGCAGCTCATCTAAGGAGAGAGGACACGTCAGACACGCACCCACAGGACACAGGCCGATCGATGAGTTCTACTTCTGATCAGAACGATTAAATGAACTTTTAAGGGCCACAATGTTTGTTAAATTCAGAATTTTCCTACATTAGCAGAGAAAACTAGTCCAGATCTATAAAAATTTCCATGAGTCAAATGTTTATTTTGATGTAAACATATCTGAGCAAAAGAGACATTAGAATTAAAAATACTCAGGATGAATTTGGGGAGTAATCAAGTTCACCCTGTCAAACAAAAAATTATCATAAAAGTGAATTAAACTACATAATGGAAAATTCCCCTTTTTTGAAATAAAAATTAAATATTAAGCAACACAAAAAACAAAAGTGAAGTAGTCTAAATAAACTAAACTACAAACTAAGTAAATAAAAAAGAGCCAAGTGGACCAGTATGGAGTAACAGTGTGAGCAGCGTCACCTGTCTTGGCACCGTTGGTCTGCTGCAGCAGCTCTGACATCGGCTTCACTAGATTTCCTGCGAACAGGACGAACAGGCCTTTGAGCCGCTCGGCCACGCGGTCGCATAGCCGGTAGAAAGTCAGCACACGCTCTTTACTGTTGGACTTACTCCAGTCAAACAGCTGCAGGACAAACAACCAGAGGGAACATTCACTGATGCATAAACTAGTAGACTGGCAGAAAGTTCATCTGCAAGGACCTAAACATCCCACACTCTGCTCCTTAGAATCACTGTAAACTGAACTGTTTTCAGTTTTTAAACATCGACATGAAACTCTTCTGCCATCTTAAAGACGAAATGATCAATCATTAACTGAAAACAGGCTGATAAATGGTGTAAGCAAGCAAGCAAAGTTTATTTATATAGCACCCTTCTAAATCTGCGTTACAAGTAAAACATAAACAAATAATAATAATAATAAAAATACCTAAGACCAGATAAAACACATCAATACAGTAAAATAACAAGAAAAATACATAGACAAACCAAAAACATCAATCAATAAAATTGTCAAAGGCCCGTGAATACAAATGCGTTTTAAGAAGTGGTTTAAAAACAGACAGGTTCGGAGCTGATCTAATCTCCCGTGGCAGACCATTCCACAGTATAGGAGCCCGAACTGAAAAAGCTCGGTCTCCCCAATGTTTCCGTCTGGACTTCGGCACTTCCAGGAACAACTGGTTCGAAGACCTAAGTGTC